CAATGCAGGCGCTTAAACACCAGAAAGCCGTGGCCTGCTTAAATGGTCCCCTTAGAAGGGGGGGGGGGAACTAGAAGCAAAGGGGCGATGCAATGTTACGGTATTTCCTAATGTAAGATTTTCATCTATTTTACATGACCGCAGTATCGGTGTAGAGTAAGAAACGAACTTCTCTTTCTTTACACTGTACGCTTTCGCCGTTTCAGTTCGGTATCGATATACTTTAAATCAAATATTAAATATGAAACGGTTTTATCTTCTGGCTTCCTGATGCATTGCTAAAGGTCAAATTTTATAACATGATGAAGAATCCTGTCTTCATCGACATTTGCGATACCGTATACCAATATATCTGCTGGTGAAGACGGTAAAGTGTGGCGTCGAAACGCGTAGACGAATACGGGATTTGACATTGTTCTCGTGATCTGTTGCCTTGAACCAAGATCAGGAATCGAAGAGATTCAGCACATAAAAAGTCAGTATCGCTTTTCGCTTGCGTTACTTGCTTGCATGATATGCACTTGGCGACATATCAGATATCTCCATATAAAACCACTGGCAAAGTGACAGCAATGTGAAATAAATCAGGTATACGGGAAAATAAATCCTGAGTGCTATGGAGACAGTATGAAATCGCGTAAGGTGAGAGCAGATCTGAAGGAAGAAGGGCGAACATGATTCGGATACCTGAAGAAAAATGATGGCTTGCTGTCATCATACCACTGTCGAAGGATAATGTGAAAGCATGAATATTTCTATTTATAACAGTGCACATGAAAAATGAAAAATAAATCACGTAGGTATAGGTTGTGATCGGGACGGAACAGTAGGTAACAGGCCAGCGTTGAACTTCAGAGGTACCAGATTTGAATCGAATGATTACAGAAAAGATTTATCTTATTTATCTTGCTGATTTCCCTGAGAAACGGTTGGCTAGTCATGGTCCCGCGAGTAACGAGAACAGCATGGTCGAACCTTTAGACAGGTGATACCAGAACGTACGAGCTTACAACTGTGGTGTATAATGCGTGCGCCTTAGGGCGCCAGTTCGCCTGCACCAATCTGATGGCTGATATGCAGCGGTAAAAATATCAAAAGGCATAAACCCGCTTATTTACCAATACTACACTGATATTTGACGAAATATAGGCCTTACGGCAACCGCTGTCATTTTGCCTAAAACGAATAGTAAGGAAAATTCGTCTCTCAGAGTGAAATAAAATAAAGAAATATGACTTTTCCGGAATTTCGTTTTCAACACTCACGGTTATTAAAGAAACCATGGCCATTTCTGTTGAAAATTGAAATTCACTGATGATGGCTTCTGCGCTGCAAGCCGAAACATTGGAATAGCCGAGCAAAGAGGCCTTTTGTCATGGCCATAGCCACTTGCATTTGAAAAAGGGGAGTTTTAACAAATAAGACTACAGACAAAGTTGTGATCGAAACTGTCATAGCTGACCTGTTGGACAACATTTACATGACATTCATAGAAAAGGAATGAATCATGGTTTCAATCTTTAATGGGCATTCTGCAATCACAAGTTCGAAGTGGTAAAAGTGGTTTTCAAAATCTATGGCTCGCTGAAGGCGTCAGATGATGAAATCGCATTGTCCACCAATCGACTATGACCCCTTTCAGTTTTACAACACAAATTTTAAATGGCGGCAAGCATCCACCAGTTCTCAATGTAATCGTCAGGCCTGTGCCAGGTGTCACTCAACCTCATCAGTGGTTATGACCGCCAGCCTTCTAGCGCTACCCTCAAATTTGCCTTGACAAGCCATTCATAATAGTTGCATCTGCTTCGCAAGAGGAGGACTTATTTTTGAGAATGTTGCTCCACTGTACGTGACGTGTGTACGCGTTTGGGGGCAATCGACCTTGCCTGATAGAAGAATGGAATTTATGCAGTAATGATAAAGGAAATTAGTTCTTGACGACGGTAGCTGTGTCATTGACAGAAAGACATGTCACCCTTCAGGCGACCTGATCTTACCCTCATTTACCACTCAGGTCGCGATAAACTTATGGCTGGTTAAATTTCGAACAAGCACTGAAAGTGTAGAAGAATCAGCTGTATCAAAGACAAGTACTCCAACGGACAAGGCGTGTCACGTCGTAAAATGGGAATGGGGACATTAAGTTTATGTCGTTCTTTAAGATATAGTGATTCAGATGTTAAGAGAACAATAACGTTAGACGAACACAATAATTAGTAATAACGCATTAACTCCACAGATAACGAATGACTCCTCCAAAACTGGATTTCACAGATTATTGAACCTCCCCTTGCTCCTAGTTGCCTGGGAGGGCCATTTAAGCTGGTCTCGGCTCCATGCCATTTGTGGAGCAGAAGTTCCATATGCGCTCCTCCCATGTTTGTGTCCGCTAGAGCCACCTCGCGCTCATCACGAACGAAGTTTCAGTAGTTGCTACTTCATGTATGTCACCGCATGAACATCGTACGATGTTCGTACGGCCAGGTATGTCAAATAACGAATGACTTATTATTCGTTCATAAGAGCAAATGAAACACGCAGCGACAAATATTTCCAAATACAGCAAGATATCGACGAAAGGCACGTTCACAAGAGATAACCTATATTACCGAATAAACCGCCGTTATAAATCATATAATTCAATTGATGAAAGGCTACGGCTTCTGAGAATGAAATCTAAAATAAAATCAAACAAATTTCGCCCGCTCGAGAAGTGATGGATATTAATGACCGGAAAGCACACATGAAAGTTGATTAAGTTCAGGAAAGAGGAGGTGCGTTGTTTGTACCTCCCGGAAACTTGTCAAGGCAAAAAGAGAAGCGGACGAATAGCAGTTGCGCGTTGTATGTTCGTGATTTACCTGGACTCTCGTGTTGAACTTCGGCTAAGCTTCTGGACGGTGGTTATGATGGTGAAAATGCGAACTTTTCAGGGAGTTGGAAGGAAACACAACGCCGCAGCGATCGCCAGTTGAAGACGCTGTTTCGCGCAGCACATTTTAATAACTCGTATTAAATCGTACTAACACTACGTGGTCCCGGCATTTCTAGCCAATGACAATGACGCGAGCTGCGTG